AATGTTTATTGAATTGTGTTTCAGACGAGAGATCAAAGTCGAGGCCAACCCATAGAAGACACGACTCGTTGTCGTCGACCACTAGTTCTCACACTATATCCCAATTGTTGGCGAAGAAGACATTCATCGAAGAGACGGGTCTTTCGCCGCAAAACGCGTACAGAATTGACACCAAAAGAGATTCAAATAATTTGGCGTTTAATTCATTGTATTATAAAAATGTCGCGAATTATGAGAAAAACAAAACAATTAATATCTCGAAGAGAAAAAGGGATCAAAACGACGGTTTGGCTCACATTTTGTAGTTTTTTTTGCATTCAATTATAATTATTTGTATTTTATTTTGTTTTCAGATTCTGTCAAAAATCATAAGAAGAAGAAAATGAGATATTTTTCTCTCGAAAATCTAATATTAATGAAGAAAAGTCTCAAAGAGTCGACAGATTTGTCGAAACCAGTGATGAGACCAATGAAAGAAGCGTTGGATTTCATTGCAATCAAAGCCAATCAACCTTTTAGTCAGTTATTGACGATTCAGTCAAACACTAATCCATCGAATCCTTTGGGAGTTTACGACACGAAGACTGCTCTTTGGTCTGAAGGAAAGGGATGTTTAGATGATATCCCTATTCCTGAGTCGTCTCTCAAATTCCAGTCAATGAAAGACAAAACATCTAAAAATGGTATTAAAATTGATTGCTTTGAAAGAGATTTAAAATACATTTTGTTTTGTAGAGACAATTGGCGCGAATCGATGTCCGACTCGTCAACAATATATTTACGATAAAACACAAGAATTTAACGCATATTTGAGAGACAATGAATTGGATGTCGAGAAATGGCTTCAATTCATAGCATTTCAGGACAAATGCGTGGAAACGACGGATCATTTGAAAGACAAAATCGATGGCAAAACATATGATGTGTTCATTAATGAGAAGAAACTTTCCATTTGTGAGAAAGCGTTGAGTTTTAATTCGCAATCAATTGATCTGTTGTTATGTCGACTCGAAATTGTGTCCAATATTTGGGATTTCGATAAAGTGGTCAAAGAGTGGAAACGTTTAGTCTTTTTATATCCGAATTCATTAGAAATGTGGAGAAAATACATTCGGTTTACTCATCAAAACATAACACAATTTAAAGCATCAAAAACTTTGAAAGTTTACGAGAAATGCATTGAAATGCTCTCAAAAATGTTGGAAAAGACTTTTATAAGTCATTCGCCGCCCAAAGACTTGGAGAGAGAATTGGTTTTAATTCTGAGCTCTTATTCGCGATTTCTCTTAAGTATTGGACAAACGGAGAGATCTATTGCTATATTTCAGGCGTTAATTGAATTCAATTTATTTACTCCGAGTTTATTGACGTTTGAAATGTCTGTTCAGGTATTCATTCATTCAATCAATTGTTTGTTTTTCATTATTTGTTAAATATTTTATATTTAATGATAGGATTGGAAATCACTGTTTGAGCCGTTTTGGGACAGCGGTTGCCCTCGTTTTGGGGAAAACGGATCCATCGGTTGGTCTCAAGTGATGGCTAAGAAGAATGTGGGAAATAGTGAACAAATGGATCCACAAATCGATTCTCTCATCGATAAAGAAGAGAATCAAATCATATCAGAGAAAAGTCATAAGAATATCGTTTGGCTTAAGTTTGAATTATTGAGACAACGGTTCCATTGGCTTCCGGTTCGCACCGACACTGACATCGACGACACGGAGAGGATTGTCTCAAGTGATGATGTGATCGATGTTTTGGTCAGATTTCGTGAGACAAACACTAAATACTTTTTAGTGAAACAATTTTTACGCTTTTTATCAGTGATTGACTTTAAAAGTGATGAAAATGTGTTCAAAAGTGATGACTGTTTTGAGCCAATTGTAGGAATCCGTGACTTTTCTCTTCATTTACCGCTTTTACCGAAATTCTATGGAAACGAAACTATTATTCAAAACATCTTTAAGTCAAGCGTTGAGTTGTTTTGCGGCGAAAATAAATGTGATTTTGTTTTACTTTGG